TAACTGAAAATTGAGTGTTTACTATTATTTATTGACACTATTGACACACTTTTTTCCTATTTAATACTGTAAAGTTGCTTTGACACAATCTGTATTGTTAAAAGCGCTATATAAAATAAAGGTGACTTGACTTAAGACATGTGGCATGATTTCATCAGACATTAAAAAAAAAATCACGAATATCACAAATACCTTTTTTCTTTGTCGTTGCTTTGCTTCACTAGACTGCTGCTCTAATGTTCTTTTTCTGTTTGATGGTGGAGTTTTTGCAGAACCAGTCCTCTCCTCTTCTGCTTCCTCCTCCTCCTCAGTGCAGTGTCTCTGCAGCTTTTATAAAGGTAAATTTAAGAGTATTTAAAGAACTTTAGGACCAAGAAAGATATTTTAAGCAATAAATCGAAGGGAATACATGATGTAAATATACTCTGTAAATGTAAATGCCTAGAGAGAACACAATGAGTTGTATTAGCAACACTTCAAAGTTTTGTTGTTAACAGGCATGGTTTATTTGCTCTGCCTTAGGATTGCAAGTGTCTTGGGACAGGTGAGGGAGTGAGTGGAAGCTGGTGGAGCTACTCAGGGAGGACATCAAACTCCAGAGAGAGACGGAGGAGAAAAGAGCAGGGAGAGAATGGAGGGACTGTTTTCTCTTCTTAAAAGAATGCTTAACAAATACATTATTTATTAGCCATTCTCTATTAGCCAAGAGAAAACAGTGGAAAAAATGGGTACATTACAATTTTTCAATATCTTTTTTTTAAATGTCACATTGTCAATGAAACAACCTAATTTCTGTAGCTTATGTTTGTGATGCAAGTTCAAAATTAAATGAATAAGTTGTATACATTATTCATTTTTGTAGTGTAATTTATTTGTAAATGAGCCTGATAGTGTTGTCAAAAGACCCAGTACTTCGGTACCAAGTTGGTACTAAAAAAATTAAAACATTACGGTACCAGGTTTTTTTAAGTACCGGTGGTACCCAGTCAACCCGGTTCTTGATGTGCTATCCGAAAGGTACGCAGATGCGCTCTCTTCATAAAAGCACTAAGACGTGGCGACCTCAAAATTAGGAAACACATCAAACTAACAAAACACTTTAAAGACCGACACCCGGATCAAATGAAAGAGTTCAAGCAGGTAAGTTTCATTTAAATTTTAATGTTTAGATCTTCTCAGTGTTTCTCATACACTGGTTTATTTATGGCGGCCACTACAATATCAAAACTCACTGCCACAAATAGATTTTCCAAAAGGCTTTGACTTTGTTGAATAAACATGAGCACTGCACGTGTCAAAGTCGAAACCCGGTGCGGGTGTTTTTATATCACTGTATTTCTGAAGGTAACTGACTGTCTTCAGAAAATGATGGATGTCATTTTCATTCCATCTTGCCTTGTAATGCCTGATAAAGCAGCATTTGTGAGTGCAGCGCTTATTTGATTACAGCCATTACTGGGGAAACCTCTATCTCTCCCGCTCTACAAGTGCCTCCTGCTGGCAGAGAATGAATTTGCATATA